CATTCTGCAGCTAGAAATCGAAGAAACCGAATAAACTTCACATTCTTCACGCCAAGTAAATGGCCCTGTAACAAAAGGAAAAAAACTAGGAATTAGGTTGAAAATGAAAAGTCTACAGATAAGCAATTCCTCTATTGACAAAAAAGTTCTTTACTCTCCCATTCTAGCCTTGCCAATGACGATGGGCGAACTTAAACAACTTCAACAGCTGGCTGCAGTCGCTTTAACTGCATTTTTCTTAGGATTTTTGATACGTATTCTGATTGGTAGTAAAAAGCTAGCTGTGAAACTGTACAAACTGCCGTCACATGAAACAAGAGCAACGACTTTATCAAGATAACGGCTTCAATGAGAGGTTAGCAAAGTATGCAGAACGACGTGGCAGGGTACCATTTTTTATTAACAGCGCCAAGATACTAGGCGAGCTGTCCGCAAAGAACAGAAGAACAAGTTCACTTCAACTGCTTCTATACATACTTTAAGCCAAAGCGATTGTTCGGAGTCTTCGCTTCAAACAAATATAATTACTTCGCCAATATTCCGTTTATTCGTAAAGAGTATTTCTACCTGGCTCGTATAAGGCGACAGCCGTCGTTGAGCCTTCCCGTAATTCAGACCCCCTTCAGCGATGCAACTATGACCGGAAGTAACTTTATTTGCTATTCCCGTCCAAAATCTGAGTGGAAAGTACAGTCTAGCAAAGAGCCCTTTCATTGAGCTTGCTCAAGTGCCAACTTGAAAATTCTGATTATCTTCCCTTCCTGCCAGAAAAGTTAAATTCTTAGTGGACTTCAGGATTAAGTACATATCCCCTTCGAGCAAAAAAAGTATAACAATATAAGTAACGCAGGCAGCAAACAGGTTGGACTTCACATCCAAAGAAGTTTTAGTTTCAAATGAACTGAAACAGGTGCCAGAGCTGGGGCACAAAACCAAAGCACTAGATTTCACAGTACAGCGAAGCCAACTTAGCCAAGTACTTGTTAAAAACTGAAGAGAGGAAGATAAAGAAAAAGATATTACAGCCAAAGATCCCCTCCAGAAGGATTTTAAATGGTAAACGGTAAGCAAACCTTTTCTTTTATGCGGTATACCCGTTTTAATTCATCGACATCGAATGAGAAGCCGACAGAAGGTACACGCTGCTTTTTACTTGAAAACATACTGACGAGGGCATCATAACGACCACCCCTGGCAATAACAGAAGAAGGACAATCACCTTCTCCAGCTTAAAAGAGACAAAATTAATCGTGGAAAGCATCCGGAAGAATATAATAGACCATTGGAATGTTTTAAATTGAGACTTACCACCATAATTTTCTATTCTCACTATAAAGATCATGCCAGTATAATAAGAGAACCGAGGAACCAATGAGGGATCAACAACCACATAGCTGTCAATATTGTGTAGAGCGCAATAATGGAGAAGCAACCGTAATTCCGCTATCGCCTCTTTGCCCTGATTAGAAAAGGCAGAATCTCCATCATACACATCAAGAAGGGTAGCGTTACCAATTGCTGCGCCATCCCCTAATCAAACAGTAAAGCTAAGAGTAATTTGAGCTCAGAAATGTTCCAGAATTTTGAAGTATTTAGAGTAGTAACAAGCAATTTATTAAAAACATATAATAGCAATTAAGAAAAACTTGATGATACCTTGTACTTTCAAGAAATGCTCTAACTTGCTAATTGTTTCATTGGAAAGATGTGCCTCGCAAGACAGCATCAGAGATACTTCTCCCCAAGATTTTTCACTTAACCTTTGTAAAAATGACAAAACCAGGTCCAGATATTTCATTTGTACGCCACTCGAAAGGAGGAACTTTTCCAAAAGTGAGCAGTGGTTAACCTACAACAGGATCATCAAATTGCCAAATAATCCTACATTTTCCCAAACAACAGATAATAATGTGGGTGATTAGACCCAATAAAAACTTGTAGTGAAGATGGTTAACGTACGCTATAAAAACACCTACCCTAATTTCAAAGTTTTTTAGGCCTAATTTTGTTAGGACCTCTACTATGATCCGCAAACATTCAGCGTCAGGAAGCATAGAGTCATACACCCCGGCGATATCGAAATCCTAAAAATAAAAAAAAAAAACAGATTTTAGACAGAGAAATAGAAACTCAGAAATTGTAAGAGTAGCAAACTAGAACTGCCGCTTTCACAGGGTTATGACAGGAATATAGCCATTCCAATAAGCCTTGTCAAAAAAGAAGGCAAAGAAGAAATAGGAATGAGCGAGATAAAGAAAGGGAACAAGCAAAAAAACTAAGAAAGTGCGACTACTTTTTTGAGATTTATAAAAAAAAATAACGCTTAGAACTTCTTCCACAGTTGCGACACTGCTCGCTAAGCAATCTACCTCTTTTTTCAGCAAAAAAACTTCGTAACGCAATTGCTTCGAAAAATATTCAACGTTTGCCAGAATGCTAAGAAACACTAAAACTTACACAACTGTGTTTCGCTACACCTCATTTATCTCAAATTTTTTTTTTTGCCAATATCCAATTTTTTTCTTGTTTTTATGCTTCTCAGTTGTTCTCTATTCAAATGATACAATGTTCTGAAAATTATATTGTTAATTTTATTGAGTTTTTTATGAGAACTGATATTAAACTGCGTTGCTTTACTCGTATTACCCCGCACACTGGAAATCGCAAACGCGGTGCACCGCGTGCATGATACTTTCATGATCGTTACTCTCCCTATTAGTTGGCACAAAATTTTATGGATCTTAACGCCTTATTCTATCTTTAACTGTTAGTTGTTTCCTTCTTACTCTTTCAATTGGCGGGGATACTAGGACGATGAGAAATTTGAGTGAAGGACTTCTAAAGCTAAAAAGTAGTATGCAAGAAGGAAAGAAATTTCTTGTTCAGAAATTCAAGAGGTAAGGAAAGATAGCATCCCCATCAACAAACATAACGAAAGCTCTTTCAGACCCTTATTTCAAACTGTTTTCTAAACCTGAACTATATGTGCCAAGTTTGTGAGGGAATGTCAGAAAACTGCAGGATCCAGAAACGTGTTAATTTTTCCATGAATGAATTTATTACGGTTTCTAAAATCAACTGTGTATAAGTCGCAACTACAAGTGCTTAAGAAGTTTTGAAACTGAAACAGGTTAGGTAAATCAGAAATTCCTTTTGAAGAAGTACTAACATAACACGCCATTTCTCCAATTTTTTCAAGACCATTTTTGTTCTTGCGGTATACCCTGCCATAGTGATACCTCTTCATATTTTGTACTTTATTCATAGATAAATAACGTGCAAAAGGAACCTGAAAGCTACATAAACGTAACTATCATAAACAATGTGGTACATATTTTTCCATGCTTGAATTAAAAACTTAGCATGAGTTATTTTTGATACTAGCAACATGAGACAGCGAAACACAGCAAAAAAATACTTTTTTTTTGAAAAAAAAAATGAATTATGAATTGTACCGTAAGGTCATATCGCATTGTTATTATTTCTCCTCCTTGGTCCTTTAAATCAACAAAATGCTTCTCGTTGTCCATACCGTATTTACCTAATAGCACGTCTCTTAATTCAAAAACAGGCGTGTCAATTGTTTCCGCACCATGCTTTCTAAAACAGTCGGTAATTGTGTGCAAAATCCTTTCATCCACAGTGCTGTATCTTAGCTCACTGCCTGAAAAAATTTTTGAATAAATTTGCCAGAAGTTACAAATTTACATACGAAAAGCAACGACTCTACAGAAACCAAAATGCTAAAGGTACTGAAAGAAAGGATAACCTGCCATATGTGTTGGTAATCTGCCTTTAAGTTCCTTTAACATTTCACCTCTAGGAATATCCTGTAATGAGAATTTTGAAAAATCAAAATCATGATTTAGAAAAGAGGATGGTGAGGTTTATTCAGAAAAGTTAACAAAATTATGCCAACTTTCTCGTCTCGAGTGACAACGTCTCTAATTTTAATAATTCCTTCATTAATTTCTCGTTCACCAATGATAGCGACCAAAGGTATTGAGCGATCCTCACAGTACTGCAACTGGTTAAGCATCTTCGGGTTTGCCTTGAAAGCCATTTCAGCCTTAAAAAATATTTCACATAGTTTCAAAAAAAATAGCTTAACTGTTTCCAGTTATGTGATGCATTAAAAGTTACCTATATTTCATAAAATATTAAATTAAAATACCGCTCTGAATGTGAAATTCCAACAAAGAGACTAACCCTGACATCTCCGTCCCAAAGTTCTCCACACACTTTTAATCTTTCGGGAAGTAAATTTTTTTGAGCAGAGCCGACGTAAACGTCCGTTGCACATGTCCGTATGGTAGAGTTTTCCACCTAAGTAGCTAAGTGAATGAACAGTTTTAAATTAAAAAATATTGCAATGTCGTCTTACTAAATTTTGATTGACTATTTAAGACTAATAACTGCTTCACCTGCGCTTTTAACTCCATAATACTGAAGAGTCTTTCAACCCCAAATGAAACTCCAACACAAGGGACGTGCGTCTTCGAAGCAGAAAACATTTCCACCAGATTATCATATCGTCCACCCGCAGCAACTGTCCCTACATGTGTTTTACCTTCTGTTTCTCCATCCAATGTCATCTCACCAATACCGACAGAAAAATCTAAAAAGATTTCTTTGAGTAGATTAAAGATTATGCAACACAAAAAACCAAATTACCTTTGTAAACTGTTTCAAATATAGCGCCAGTGTAGTAATCAAGCCCACGCGCTAGTGCTGGTTCAAAAGCTACTCGTTTTTCTATACCCATTGTGACACAATGACTTAAAAGAGTGTTTAAGTCGGCTAAAGCCTTTTGTATTTTCTGATTGCATCCCATCTCTATATCACTTCTAAACCTTTCCAAGAGTTCTACGTTCGTCAAAGCTCGATTTTGTTCTGAATATGAAAAATCAAGCATAATTCTTTACTAATCTAATATAAAAAAGAAAATCAAAGCTTGACCGCTTAAGAATCCTGAAAAGCTTTATAGCAAACCTCGCATGCGAACCATTTTTTCTAGCTTGTCAACCGCCTGCACATTAACTTGTTTTTCACCGATCAGCTCTTCTCTCACCTTTTCCCAAGGAACTTTATCCAACTTGTCAATGGAAGAACAGACTGTCTTAAACAGCCCTGTTTCTATTCCACAAACGGCAAACATACCTTCGAGTAAAGCACGATGATTTAGCTAAAAATCAATTAAAAGCACTCAGGAGAAGCTGAAATCTGTATCCAAATAAACAGTTAACTTTTGAGAAAGGGTTTAAGAAACTCCAAAAGCTTTAAAGTTGTGCTAAAAAATAAAAATAGTTAATTTGTTTCAATTTGTAAAGCCTTTCAAAAGACCTTGATTTCATAAGCTCCAAGCCCTAGTTTAGAAAGAACTTCGTCAACAACTTTCAAACATTCAGCTTCAGATTCCATAGGTACACGGCATTCTCCAGCGATGTCAAAGTCCTGTTAAGAACAGCAGTAGAAATGTGATATTTTCACCAAAAACTGGATAACTTGCAACGATTTAAAAAACATGCGAACTGACACACTGGTAGAACTCCCTATAACGTCCTCGAGTCATAACTGGTTGGTCGCGGCGATACACCTTTCCGATGTTATATCGTTTCATGTATACTAAGTCATTTAACGCCAAATATCGGGCAAAAGGAACCTGTGGGCAAAAAAAAATTTAAAATTGGAAAAAATCAGTCACCAAAAAGCAGCGTGGGTGATTTTAAAAAAATTTCAAAGTTTTAAAATCCAAAACTCAGCTAAAAATAAACTTGTCAATCACCCTTACAGTCAAATCATATCGTAAACTGAAGCTTTCGCCACCGCAATCAGCCAAATCAAATATCAGCTTCCCTCCTTCTTCACCATATTTCCCTAGGAGCACTTCCTTCAATTCGTAAACACTGGTGTCCATTTTACGAGCACAGTGAACGACGAAACAATTAGAGATAATCTGCAGAACATCATCACGAATAGCAGCAGCCTTTGGGCCGAAGTCACGAGTGCCTGAAAACCAACGCAAAAACATTCATAAAAAAACTTGTCAATTTCAGAGCCAGAACATTGCGGAACTAAGAAATGCAAAAACGACCTTTTGGGAATTTAACGACAAATTTTCCAGCTGCATCACCTTCCAGCAATTTCTTCTTTTCTAACATCCGAGCAACCTTCTCCTTTATCTAGAAATTTAAAAACTTATAAAGATAGTTTTCTTTTAATTTTTATTGCACCGAAAGAAGTGACAGCACAGAAACAAAATATAAACGACGTGAGATATGAACTGTACACTGGAACAGTGTTTCCCAGCAGAGGGTAATGAGAAGACTTAAAGACTTAAAGGGACAAAGGAGGGAGTAACTTTGGGGATAATAGGATGGTAACAACAAATGATCTGAACTTCTGAGCCACCTTAACGTAGTGAATACGGCAAAGATCAGTACTGAAAACTGAAGAATAAAAACGAGTCAAAAGAGGAAGAAAGGCTAAGTCAAACGCTTATTTTTGGCTACACAGTGAAATTCGAAACTGAAAGTTATGGACTAGCAATAACTATCAGTGAACATGCGTGGGGGGTCACTGAGCGATATGTAGGGAAAGGGGAAAGTGATCAATTTATAAAGAAAGATTGAGAAACACCGACCTAGAAAAAATATCTAAACTGTTTCTCAAAGACGTCTCAAACCAACAAAAGCTTGCCGCAAAACGTAGCAAGACAAGAACGACAACAGTAGAGGACACCAGTCCAAGCAGATACATAAAGAAATACCAACATTTGGGTATGCACAGTTTCAAAATTGCTTTTACAACTAGCTAAAAGGCAAAAACGAAAATTATTTTAACGTACTTGCTTCCCACTTCGATGCGTATAAATTACAGGTTTGTAAGCTCTTCGTACTACAGAATAAAACATGAAAACTTCGGCTGAAAGAAGTTGACAGCAAAGGTATAAGCAATACCTATACACAACTCCAAAGGAGAAAATGATCTATACCTACGAATCTAAAAAAAGTCAGAAAGAAAAAGCTAAACATACATTCAAAAGCCACTCAAATAACTGCGGACTTTCACTCTCAACAGAGTTAAAAAGAAAGGAGAGAACAAAACAAATTTTTTAGAACAAAATGGCTTGACAATTAACACTAAAGAAAAAACGGTTAAACAGTTCTCCAAGCACATCACAACCCAAAGTTTTGTGTGTTGGGTATCTTCATCCACCAAAAAGTATTCTCGGAATTTCAACACAGTGTTGACCGAAAATTTATAAATTCATAAATCATCGTAATTCCACTTGTAGACTATGACTGAAATACAATTAAAATGAACTGAAAACCAAACTAGTATGAACCATAGATACCGGCGCCCAACCACCCTACCTCGAAAACTTTTGATCTCTGGAACTGTCAATCTTGTTTTTTTTCAGTTCTAACAAACGAAACGTTTAATAAGGTATTATTATAATAGTTTAAAGCCACCAAAGAAATCTTTATATAACCACAATCAACTTCTACTTGGTAACAATAAGTTGTTATGCATCATAAAAAGGACTTATTGAAAATCCTCCCATCATTGAGAAATAACTTTTGAAACAATAAAAGATTCAATTTTACATGATGTAATATCCAGAAACCAGCAGATGCGGTCTATGAAGAACCATAAACATGAGACGTTTTAACAACAAAACTACTCAAGTTCTATAAAAAGGTTTACAAAGCATGCATTAACACAAACCAAATCTGCTAGTTAACTAAAACAATTTTTCAGTTTATCATCTTTTAGGATTATGGTAAACAACATATTAAACTATACAAAAATACCAGGATTCGCTATGTACTTGTCATTACTGCTATACAACAGCCAATTTAGGCTCTCCAAATAACTACTAAAACATATGAACAACTGTAAATAGCGTCAATATACTTTACAGCACAAAACAAAAAGTAACAGACGATTAAAATACAATCATCTGCCTTTATTTTAACGTACTCGTTCCTCTCTCGATTTAAAAGCATTACACAAAGACAAAAACTGCGATTAGTCCTAAATGCCATAAAAACAAAATTGTCTCACCAAGTTCGGATCAGCTTTTTCTTCTTTCAGTTTGCGGATCTCGTTACCGAGTTCTTTCACTTTTTCACGTAATGCCTCGATTTCTACTGTAGTCAGCACCGGCATCCCTTACCTGTAATAATTCATAAATTGCCAGGAACTTTTCAATAGAGTTGGAATATAAATGAGCACTGAAGGCCGACAGTCAAGTTTTTATCATCATAACGCAACTAATAACTGTTTTCATTCTCAACATTGTAAAAAAAGTTACAAATTTTGTACAAATATAAACCCATTAATCATTGTAAAAAGAAAAAATACAATAAAATAACAAGGTTTCTTTGAAGACAGGATATCGGTATAATTGATTAAAATGCTACTATGGCAAAAAAGAAAGTTATAAAAAAATCACCCTTCCACAAGCCGGGCACCAATGAACAAAACATTAGATTATTTTTGTTAGTTTTATGTGCAGGCAGATCCCTGATCAATGTGAAAATTTTCTTTAAACTATTTTTTTACCTCACCTAGTTTTCAGAACTACTAAAAAATTTTGCAAGAAATATTTCTCGTGTTCACTGTACACAAAATAAAAACCACCAATGTCACCAACATTCAGAAACTCACCAATGACAGAAAACATTAGTCTAATTACGGAAAAAACCTTAAGCACAACTTTACCATACAAATCTTAAAATAATTTGTAACCCCACTTTAATAAATGCTAACATACAAAGGAGAGCGTACTTGAGTTCAATGCAAAAGAACGTTGTTAAAGTCTTGTATGTTGTTCTGGTTCAGATGCAAATCCCAACTCTCTGATCCCCAGTTTGTATCCAATGACCCTATGTCTCAATTATTTCCATATATCTCGAAAATACTTCCTATGAATATCCCACGTTCTGCTAAGAAAACAACCATAAACAAACAGGTTTGACTTGATACAATCAAACTATTACCTAAATCTTACAAATTTATTGCTGAACACTAGACTAACTATGCAAAACCAACACATTTAAATAAAGCTACTAAAACAAAAAACTAGTCTAAAGAGACTATACCACTCAGAATACTTATTTAAGTATTGTAACCTGAAATGCACAAAAGCTCCATTCTGCACACTCTTAAAATTGGGTTAAAAAACCATCCAAACTTCTCATTTTTAAACATGAAGTCTTCATACTAAGATAATAATTGAGTAGTGCATAAAAAACGCGCCTCCAACAAGAACTCATACCTGCCGCTAGAAAAAGAACTAACAGCTTTTAAAACAACTGTTACAAATTTCATCCTTTTTCCATAAAAAAGGCGAAAAAGCTATTGATATAATACAAAATGAGGACCTCCTACACTAAAAAAAGGCCCTCATTTTGTATTATATAAATCCCTTTTTGATCACCTGCCGAAAACTCAGTCCTTTAACTGTGAGCTGCCTGTTATCAACTATCACCATTTATTCTGACTGCTAGAATACCAAATTTCAGTAAACTTATTCCATTTATTCAAATGCTTTTTTTGTTAATAATAACTGTTCCTCTTTCAAAATAACTTTTAGCTTAAACTTCAGACCAGTTTTAAACATTTTTTTCAAAACCAAAAAATTTCGTTCCTAAAATTGTTATACGCAACTGGCACTCAAAAGTTCCTGCAAAGAACTCAACAAGGTTCATGACAACTCCTGCGCAACTTACGCCAACAAACTAGAATTACTACAATTTTTTCTGTCCCATCTTATTTGTCGAGAAACAAATGAATTTCTTTCAAACATTTTTCCCTAAACTATAAAAAGCACTTCTAATCAACTATCGATTTGCTCTCGCTACTCATTTCGTACTCGTCAAGAGTCAGTCAATGCCATTCCGCAAATTCTTACAAGAAATGAAATCGAGTCAGACAACAATCCCTCACAATCTCCCGTACTTATAAACCTAGTAGAACATTACACTCTGCAGACGAAAACCAGTAAACTGTAGTATAGTGGGTCTCAAATTTATAAGCCAAAATCAACAAAAAAATTTTAATTCAACTACTACCTTTACCTTTAGCCACAGCCTCACCTCGAGTTACTTACAAGTTCCCAATAAAACTTACGTTTCGACTAAAGAAAAATAAGTTCTTCAAAAATAAAACCACCTCTTACCACTTATATTTTAAACTATTAAAACTTCCTTGAGATTCCCAAACTTTCTTTAGAATACTTTTTGATAATCAGCATCAATAATATTTAAAGTCTCTGTCCCCTTAAAATAATGTTTTTCAAGCTCCAAGCTTTACCTTAAACGACGAGACAGCTTTTTAATCTATAAATCAGAACGTTTAACGTTCTTGAGTATTTTACAACTATACTTAATTCGTTCTTAAATATTCCGGCTAATGAAGAATCTTCAAAAAACTATTTGAAAACCTAAGTTTCTTTTGAAAAATGAATGCAATATTTAGATAGAAAGAACCATATATCCTGATGTAAGTACAACAGTCGAAAACAGAAGGCTGCTATCTATTTAAACATCCGAACTATGCGACTTAAGATAGCGACAACGGAGAAAACTAAACCATTATAGATCATTAAAAACTATAACGTTAATCCTGATTTTTAACTGGAATAGCTAATGCCTCATCAGTAACAAATCAAAAGCAAACATATCATCTGTTACATGAACCATAAACAAAGAGAAAGTGAACTTAATGCGCAATGCGAAAGGCAAACTTTTTCTGTCCAATTACCTAGTACTACTACAGCAAAAATATGGAAGAATCCTAAAATTTCAGAAAGTCGACAGGCATCTTAAAGCAGCGAGCAACTTGACAATTGCAACTAACAATACTTTTAAGAACTATCAGTTGGCCGATCCTACATATACAGCCTCTGTCTCAGGAAAAAGAAAAACTCTGAGTGGAATTTCGCCAAACTTTCAAACTTAGACATTCATCAATACAAAAAGCTGTCAACATTTCAGATTTGTTAAAATTTCAACATCCGCCTGAGTATATATATATATATATATATATATATATATATATA